GCGTAACCTTGTTTTCTTTGGTCAATTTGGACAATCCAACAGCGCCTGCAACTGCAGCTGCAGAGCCGAGAACAGCGCGGCTAAGGGTCTGACCAATACTGGTCTTGGCCTCGGTCTTGACAACTTCGGACTCAGTAGTGATGTCTTCTTGCAACTTGGTCTCAGTCTTCTTGATAGACTCTTCGAAAGTGGTCTTGTCCTGGAAGGCATTCTCAGAAACAGCAGTCTTGACAGCAGTCAATTGGTTTTTGACAGTGTTGGTGATCTTGCTGAAGTAAGAATCCAAATGCTCGTTGGTCTCTGTCTTCGACTCAGTCTTGGAAGTCTTCTTAAGGACATCGATCTTCTCCTTCAATTCAGTCTCAGCTTCAGCGATAATAACTTGGGCCTCGGCCTTGGCTTCTTCAGAGTCGTTGCCAACAAGAGTGGACAGCTTGGTAGTGAGGTTGCTATACCATCCCTGGACAGTTTCGGTAGCTTCCTTGGTAGTGTCGGCAACTGAGGTCTCGACAGCCTGGACAGTGAACTTCTCCTTCTCAGTTCGCTTGACTATAAAACAGAAACATCAGTAAACTATATACACTAAAAAAAAATTAATATTTACCATCATTCTGAACCTTGTCGGTGACAGTAGTAAAGGTGGTATCAATCTCCTGCTTGGTCTTCTCGGAAACCTTGGTGAACTTCTCTTGGAGAGCAGAAGTATCAGTGGTCTCGGTAATTACGTTCTTGACTTGGGTCAACTGGGCAGCAATTGAATCCTTGATAGAAACAAGAGCAGTTCCAACGGATCCCTTGATGGTCTCGTCGTCCTCCTCATCTTCCTCCTTCAATACGGTGCTGATCTCCTCCTCAGCCTTCTCGGTGATCTTGGCAATATCCTCCTTGACATTGTCACCTCCCTCCTGGATACGAGAGTTGATGGTCTCAGTGAGCTTAGAGAACCAGCCAGCAGCAGCGACACGCTTGGCTTCGACAGCGGATGCAGCTTTCTTGGTCTTCTCTACGACTTCTTCGGCGTGAACAACAGATGAAAAGGTAATGCTGGACTTGAGCTCGTCGAAACGTTCGTTAATCTTGTCAGTTGTGGTCTTGACAATTGTTTCAATCTTGGACTTGACATCGGTATCTTCTTCAATAGCCTGAATTGCAACCTTCTCAACCTCAAATGTCTGTGTTGAGGCGACATGTTCAATTGTTGCGAGTTGAGCGAGATATTCCTTGCGCTCTTTCTTGGTAGTGCAGTGCTTAACACCTTCAATTCTAGCACGCTCAACAATAATAGTCAGCTCCTTGCGGTAGTTCTTAACTACGACTGTAACATCCTGAGTCTTTTTCGTCTCTGACTTGGTTACAACCTGGGTTGTCATGGTAGTAAACCACTTTGTAAGTTCAGTTCTTGTGTTTTCGATTACGGTCTCGGTTGTCTCGATAGTCACAACTTCCTCAGTCTGGATAGTTTCCTTGTCCTTGGTCAGTTTAGACAATCCAACGGCACCTGCAACTGCAGCGGCAGAGCCGAAAACGGCACGGCTAAGGGTCTGACCAATACTGGTCTTGGCCTCGGTCTTGACAACTTCGGACTCAGTAGTGATGTCTTCTTGCAACTTGGTCTCAGTCTTCTTGATAGACTCTTCGAAAGTGGTCTTGTCCTGGAAGGCATTCTCAGAAACAGCAGTCTTGACAGCAGTCAATTGGTTTTTGACAGTGTCGGTGATCTTGCTGAAGTAAGAATCCAAATGCTCGTTGGACTCGGTCTTCGACTCAGTCTTGGAAGTCTTCTTAAGGACATCGATCTTCTCCTTCAATTCAGTCTCAGCTTCAGCGATAATAACTTGGGCCTCGGCCTTGGCTTCTTCAGAGTCGTTGCCAACAAGAGTGGACAGCTTGGTAGTGAGGTTGCTATACCATCCCTGGACAGTTTCGGTAGCTTCCTTGGTAGTGTCGGCAACTGAGGTCTCGACAGCCTGGACAGTGAACTTCTCCTTCTCGGTTCGCTTGACTATAAAACAGAAACATCAGTAAACTATATACACTAAAAAAAAATTAATATTTACCATCATTCTGAACCTTGTCGGTGACAGTAGTAAAGGTGGTATCAATCTCCTGCTTGGTCTTCTCGGAAACCTTGGTGAACTTCTCTTGGAGAGCAGAAGTATCAGTGGTCTCGGTAATTACGTTCTTGACTTGGGTCAGCTGGGCAGCAATTGAATCCTTGATAGAAACAAGAGCAGTTCCAACGGATCCCTTGACAGTCTCGTCGTCCTCCTCATCTTCCTCCTTCAATACGGTGCTGATCTCCTCTTCAGCCTTCTCGGTGATCTTGGCAATATCCTCCTTGACATTGTCACCTCCCTCCTGGATACGAGAGTTGATGGTCTCAGTGAGTCTGGAGAACCAGCCAGTAGCAGCTACGCGCTTAGCTTCAACAGCGGATGCAGCTTTCTTGGTCTTCTCTACGACTTCTTCGGCGTGAACAACTGAAGAGAAGGTAACTTTCGATTTGAGCTCATCGAAACGTTCGTTGATCTTTTCAGTTGTGCTCTTGACAAGGGTTTCGATCTTAGACTTAACGTCGGTATCTTCTTCAATTGCCTGAATTGCAACCTTCTCAACTTCGGTAGTCTGAGTAGCAGCAAGACGCTCAATGATGACTAATTGCTCGAGGTACTGCTTACGCTCTTTCTTAGAAGTACAGTGCTTGACACCCTCCTTTCGTGCACGTTCAACGATAACGGTCAATTCATTGCGGTAGTTCTTCACGACAACGGTAACTTCTTCGGTTTTCTTGGTCTCCGATTTGGTTACAACTTGAGTTGTCATAGTGGAGAACCACTTGGTGATTTCTGTTCTTGTGTTCTCGATGACAGTCTCGGTGGTCTCAAATGTGACAACTTCTTTAACCTCTGTCTCTTTTTGCTTCTTAATTTCAGCTGCCTTCTTCTGTTCATGCTTTTTATTCAAAGCAACGGCACCAAGTACACCAGCAGCTACTACAGCAGAGCCTAATACAGCTTTTCCAAACGTTTCAGCTAAGCTTTGCTTCTTAGCCTCGGTTTTAACAACCTCTGTCTCAGTAGTAATATCCTCTTGCAACTTGGTCTCGGTCTTCTTGATAGACTCTTCAAAAGTGGTCTTGTCCTGGAAGGCATTCTCAGAAACAGCAGTCTTGACAGCAGTCAATTGGTTCTTGACAGTGTCGGTGATCTTGCTGAAGTAAGAATCCAAATGCTCGTTGGACTCGGTCTTCGACTCAGTCTTGGAAGTCTTCTTAAGGACATCGATCTTCTCCTTCAATTCAGTCTCAGCTTCAGCGATAATAACTTGGGCCTCGGCCTTGGCTTCTTCAGAGTCGTTGCCAACAAGAGTGGACAGCTTGGTAGTGAGGTTGCTATACCATCCCTGGACAGTTTCGGTAGCTTCCTTGGTAGTGTCGGCAACTGAGGTCTCGACAGCCTGGACAGTGAACTTCTCCTTCTCGGTTCGCTTGACTATAAAACAGAAACATCAGTAAACTATATACACTAAAAAAAAATTAATATTTACCATCATTCTGAACCTTGTCGGTGACAGTAGTAAAGGTGGTATCAATCTCCTGCTTGGTCTTCTCGGAAACCTTGGTGAACTTCTCTTGGAGAGCAGAAGTATCAGTGGTCTCGGTAATTACGTTCTTGACTTGGGTCAGCTGGGCAGCAATTGAATCCTTGATAGAAACAAGAGCAGTTCCAACGGATCCCTTGACAGTCTCGTCGTCCTCCTCATCTTCCTCCTTCAATACGGTGCTGATCTCCTCCTCAGCCTTCTCGGTGATCTTGGCAATATCCTCCTTGACATTGTCACCTCCCTCCTGGATACGAGAGTTGATGGTCTCAGTGAGTCTGGAGAACCAACCAGTAGCAGCTACGCGCTTAGCTTCAACAGCGGATGCAGCTTTCTTGGTCTTCTCTACGACTTCTTCGGCATGAGCAACAGAGGTGAACTTGACTTGTGATTTAATACTTTCGAATCCTTCGTTAATTGCATTCTTGCTAGTTTCAATCAATGTCACTAATTGAGTTTTTACGTCAACGTCATCTTCAATCGCTTTAATCACAACTTGTTCGACTTGGACTGTTTGAGTGGATGCAATCGATTCAATGACAGTCAACTGGGAAAGATAGACTTCACGCTCATGCTTTGTGCTACAGTGCTTAACACCATCAATTCTGGCGCGCTCAACGATAGTTGTTAATTGTTTACGGTATTTCTCAACAACAATTGTAACTTCCTCAGTCTTTTTTGTCTCGGACTTAGTGATGACTTGGGTAGTCATTGTAGTGAACCACTTTGTAAGCTCAGTTCTCGTGTTTTCGATTACTGTCTCGGTTGTCTCGAAAGTCACAACTTCCTCAGTCTGGATAGTTTCCTTGTCCTTGGTCAGTTTAGACAATCCAACGGCACCTGCAACTGCAGCGGCAGAGCCGAAAATGGCACGGCTAAGGGTCTGACCAATACTGGTCTTGGCCTCGGTCTTGACAACTTCGGACTCAGTAGTAATATCCTCTTGCAACTTGGTCTCGGTCTTCTTGATAGACTCTTCAAAAGTGGTCTTGTCCTGGAAGGCATTCTCAGAAACAGCAGTCTTGACAGCAGTCAATTGGTTCTTGACAGTGTCGGTGATCTTGCTGAAGTAAGAATCCAAATGCTCGTTGGACTCGGTCTTCGACTCAGTCTTGGAAGTCTTCTTAAGGACATCGATCTTCTCCTTCAATTCAGTCTCAGCTTCAGCGATAATAACTTGGGCCTCGGCCTTGGCTTCTTCAGAGTCGTTGCCAACAAGAGTGGACAGCTTGGTAGTGAGGTTGCTATACCATCCCTGGACAGTTTCGGTAGCTTCCTTGGTAGTGTCGGCAA